GCCATGGGCCATAGGATGCATGTCGCGGATTAGGGTCCGTCATAGGAATTAACATAAAATAGGCAAACAAATTTCTCGAACTTCGCTCAACCCAAAACGTGCCTCTCCATGGCATTCTTCTCACTACTATACCAGTATATATATATATAGTCTTTTGATTTTTTCACAACTTTGTCTAAGCAAACAAGAAAACTTGGCACGTGAGCATTTTACAAATTAACCGACAACATAAAGAAAAACCAAAACCAGAAATAACAACCTCATAGCGCACCTACAAATGCTGGATTTCATAAAAATACATGAGTGGAGCCCATAAAAAATTTAAAATAAAAACCAAAAAAAATGCAGCTGCAAAGGTAAAATGGTCTTTTTTTCAAATATTCAAACGTACGCGGCTATCTTTTTGTATCGATGCGTACGTTCTACGAGATATGCGTAAGGTTTAATGGAAATAGCTTAGGGTAGGGCTAGGTAGAGGGTATAGGGGAACATCCCATACAATATATATCTGATTTTAAAGGAAACTAAAACTAAAACAGCATCTTTTTTACTAAAGAAAGGTCTAGTAAATAGCCTCTTGAAAAGATAGGGTGTTCAGTTTAGGGTTTCCATATTTCTACACCAGCCATAACCCATCATAACTTGAGATCTGGACGTGCTGTCGATCCGAGGCGGGAGTCAGTTCTCATTTAGATTGCATCTGGCATGACGAACGGACTCGAAGTCTGGGCTATATTTAGGCGGATTGCGCATTGTCTTCTAGTCTAGTTGGCCGTCGAGGTGCTGATATAAAACGCCTGATTAAATTTATGCACACACCATGGAATGGCGATGCCAACACTAAGGCTGCACTTTTCACTTGTGATTAATGCCGCCAGGGCGTGGCAGCTCGATTGGGTGGGTGTGGGTGCGGTTGCAGTTGGTCAAGTCCCAATCCTCAAGAATTTTTAATGGTCAGTTGGTTGGTTGGGGGTCTCGTTACGTGACCAACTGGAAAAAATACCACAAAATGTTTTCTTTTCCGTTTTTTTTTTCTTATTGCGAAAGCGAAAAACGAAAGTGGCAAGTGCGGCAGATTGTCGCCGGTTGCCGGCTCCTTGGATTGGAGCCATAACCTCCTCCTCCTCCTGATTGCCCCATCTGACTGGTCAATTGCCGCATTGCATCATCTTTCACATCTCATATTTCGTACGGTCGTCTGGCCGGCTGTAAATACCAAATATAATTGTTTAACTGTCCATAAAAATGAAGAAACATAAAAGGAGACCCTTTGCTGTCGCAGTCTTCGTCTCCCAACGAACGTCCAATGAACTTGGCTCAGAGTGGTGGGGCTCTTAAAACCGCCTCAAAGAGATATCTTTGAGCTGCCTCCGACAAAATAATTTCACACCAATGTGGCAGAAAGTATCTGGTGGATTGCTGGATGCCCCCGCTACTACCTGACAGTGTCCCATCCATCAATCGGTTGAAAGATTGCGCCACAGGTCAGCAGGTGTTTGAGTTGTTTGGGGTGGAACGCATAGGCGTAGAGCCAGATGATCTCTGGTTTGTTTTCCTTGAGAACTGCCGGTTGAGACATCAGCAGGGTGTGGGAAAATCAAGGGAATCGCAGCAAGGAAGCTGCATGGTTAGATCAGGGATAATTGGTGTGGGAAATGAGATGATGGAGGGAAATATTTATACTTATTTAAGGAAAAATGTTGATTAACTTTACTCACTAACACTACATAGAAAGTATCCAATAAATGATAAATGGAAATAACAGGAAAAGAGCCATAAACTACCCTGGAAATACACTTGTTTCAAGGATAATTAATTACCCTGCAATCTATGTCTAAGATTGTGTAATTACCCAAGTATCTGAAACCACTTTGTGAGTTTCCTAACGATTTTTACCAGATAAATGCGGCTTGAAACCGAAACTCTCTATTAAAGCGGCGGTTCCCTTTCGCCACATTTCGCCACATTCCTGATCATTAACTCCATTTGGTTGGCCACACAATCTGTCGCCATAAGCCGCCTGGCTATTGAGTAAACTTGATTTATGAGCGATTGCAATTGCATTAATTTCGCTATCGCCGCACTCTCACTCTCACTCTCGCTCTCACTCACTGTCTTCTGGTCCATTTGGAAAATTGCATGTCAACGGAAATTGCTTAATCATTTCCACGCATATCATGTATACCTCAAAGATATATCTATATATATATTGCCAAATGACTAATCCATCTGTCTATGCTCTTCCTTTCTTGCAGGTAAGTTTCACCGAGATATCGTTTTTAGGCCATAGGCAATCAAAGGAAATCATTGCGTAAGTCAATAAAAAAGCGGACTTGATTTGTTTGCTTAGGACTTCCCCTGGGGAGTTACATAATCCGGTTCCTGCGAGGAAGTGGCTCGTAAAAAAGGGAGCCATTAGCATGTGCAGTCCCATAATGGATTTTCCAATCAATGCAGGCAAAGATGATTATGGCTTACCAGTCGCGACCAATGAAATTATTGGCTCATTTGGTCAGGCGGCTAGCGAAATCAGAGGGAAACAACCTGAGAGAGAAAGATATACCCTACCCAACCCTCCACTCCGCTCCTTGATTATCGCGGCCATCGAATCTTTTCCTTTGCCACTACCTGACCCCTTGTCGCGCCTAACGATCTTTAACCTGGCCAACAGCGATCCCATCCCGGCCCAGACAGTCTGCCTCTTTTGTTGTTATTGATCGCTGTAGTACACAGCATTCAAACGTGCGTCGAGAGTATCTTTGTATCGCTGTATCGTTGTATCTTTTTGTATCTTTGTATCTGGCGAATGCATTTCGTTGTATCTCAAGTGTCTGGGCTTGTTTTTAGCCATGTTTGCCCGACTCATTTGCAAAATCTGCTGGGTAATCAGACACCGGCTAGTGATGTCAATTAGCTTTTGCTGCTGTTTTGCCAAGTGCGTGACCATTGAACCTGCATTTCCCATTTCCCATTTAGCCATCACCCATTTCCCTGCTGCTTAAAGTGAAAGTGAAAAGTCCCAGACGGGCGTTCAATGAACTTGCTTGGATCTTGGCAAAAAGCCAAGCCATTCCTCTACAGAACTAATTGAAGATTTCATATCTCAGCCTTTATGGCCATGGCCCTTTGCAATCTCAGTCGAGTCCTAGAGTAAAGCAGACAATTTATGATACAAATTAAATGCATGGAAATTATGATGAATGCGAGGCAAAATTTATGCTGATGACATGCCCAACAAAAGAGCGCCAATCCGCCCAGACTCCTACGGCTCCCTAAACTCCTCCTGCTCCACCTCCTCCGATTCCTGGAGGGCAGCTCCAATCAAGAGCCAGACGATCCACAGACAACAAATCGCCGAGTCGAGCAGTTTGCGGTCCAAGTCGTTTGTTGTTCATTTCTACACTGGGAGAAATATGTGAAGATATGGAAGGGGTTTGATTTTCATGGAAGGTTATCTAGAAGATATGAAAATCTTGAGATCAATATCAAACATTTTGTTATGTAAGAAACACAATTTCTTAACGATTTAAGTAACACTTTTTTCTCCGTGTAGACCTGAGTCTGGTCCTAAGATCCAGTGCATCTCCGCCCCTCCCTTTATCGCTTTTTGAGCAGCTGCCGAGGTGGGGAATTCAGCGACTTGGACTCCTTGTGGCCTGTGCGAGTATGCAGCCTGCCTCTAGCCGAAAGTTGTTGCGTATTTAAAATGGAAATTGCAAGTTTTTCGCTTAACGTTCCCGATGTCTCTCCTTGCCTCCCCTTTCCCCTCTCTCTGTGCTCGCTCGTCGGCGCTTTTGTTTCACTTTCGTTTGCTGATTGCAGGTTTTTTGTCTTAGCTTATTTTGATTTTTGCTTTTGTTGCCCGTTTTATTCGGTGCATTTATCACGGTGCCACACATTTGTGCCACAAGATGCCAGAAGATCGGTTAGGCATGGCCAAAGAAATTGGCAAAATGAGCCGCAAGTTTCGTTTTCCATTTCATTTTCATTTCAGCTAATTGAATGCGGTTTTTCAGGTGCCGATTTCAAGGGTGTACATACCACCACGCCCCCTTTTTCCATCATATTTAGGTGAAATCTCTCAACCGCATCCATCCGCAGTTTTGTCATCTTTGGCTGCTGGCAGGTTATGAAATATTTCGCAACTTTTGCTGCGAAAATTTCCTGTTTTCCTTTTTTTTTCACTTACGCACTTCTCTCCTGAAGCTCAGTTCGGTGGGTTTCTCGGCCGATCGGTATTAATTATTATGGTCTCGTTTTTTTCGCCTTACGGATTTTTTGCAGCTTTTATTTTTAAGGCCCGGCGAACCTGTTGCAATGCGTTCCACAAGCTGGGACTTGCGTCTAGGTGTGGGGAGATAAATAGATATGAGGCTTTCGGGTTGGATTAGGTTGGCCCCTCGAAACTAGGGAAATTTTGTAAGAGAATTTGGGTTTTTTAAGGTGGGAAAAAAACTTGCGATTATTCCTTAGAAGATTTTCTGTCTATGCCTCAACTTTAAAGATATAAAACTAATATTTTGTAATTTTTGTAAAATGTATTAAAGTTTCCACCTTATCTAAGACTTAAGTTAACTCCGTTTCTAGGTTAGAAATAGGTAAATCGCATATTTATCCCACGACCAACCCAAGTACTTAGGCCACACGCCCATCGTCCCTTAGTCTTTCACCTATTAAAACCATTTAGCATTCATTAAGTCCAATTTGGGGCCCAAACTGCTCGGAATAATCAACAAATTAACTAAATTCCTAGTGGGCGCCGACCAACCCCCTTGAATAATCCGAATTCCGAAGTTGTGACAGCGAGAATTGTCAAGAGCAGCCCCAAGAATCTTGGGAACCCACTAGCAGAGCATTCCAAACGGAGTCCAACCTGTCCAAGATCCCATGGCTAGGGCAAATATTTCCAAGCCAACATGTTCGAAGCGAACTTCATGATGAGGTTGCATGGAATCCATGAGATGCGATCCACAAGCTGCTTTGTAGCCGCAGCCCAGCGGAATTTCAATTCAGTTCGCGCTCAACTCACAGACACGATGGTCATGCAAACGCGTTAACCAAATAAAAAAAAATATATTTTAAATAATAAACACCCTTAACTATGCACTAAACCACGTACTAAACTAAACACAAACGAACTGTAAATAATTGTGTAAATAAGCAAAAAAAAAAAAACATAAACAAACATCAAAGGGAAATACTCGTAGAAAGACCGCTCAAGTTCCCATACATTGAGCTGGCCAATTGTGTTTGAAAATATTTGTTTGATCGATTTTGTGTGTGAACACCTTGTGAAGGCATTCGTAAGACCTATTGCCATAGCGAGCAAAGTGTGTTAAGCAGGGAAACACCCTCTCAAAAGTTTATATATCTACCACTATATCAACAACCCCCTTCGATCGGGTTAACCTACCACAAAGTTCAATATATACACCACTTCCTTTCTAAGTTTGTGTTTACGTGCTGCTGACTAATTGCCTTTTATATAGCCCGACTATATAAAACTGTACAATAAGACACGGCCAACTCTTTTAAGTTCAACGCCTGAGTTAAAGCTGCAGAATTGCTTCGCTCTCCAGTGAAGTTCTAGATTTTCGCGGCGAAAACGTTTTTCAATTAATTTCCATTAAAGTGAGAAAGTCTCGAGAACGGCTTCTTTTTCGGTTTCTAATTGAAGACAATTGCTTGCACCAGACCCATAAAAAGTGAACTGCATTCCAAGTAGAGCAAAACAGTAACCACTTCATCATCTCAACATCGTCAGATGCTGCATAATTAGCATTCGTTTGTGTGTGTGTGTGTTTGGAGCGACGAGAAAAACGGAAAATGTATCTCATACAGGTGAGGCCAAGCGGTACAATAGATCTCCCTCTCATAATTAAGTGTTTGCTCTTACTTATCACATGCTGGCGGCGGCATGCTGCACTTGCTAGCTGAAACTGAACTGAAAAAGATCTTCATTTAAGCGTTTTTTAATTGTCCGCCAGCTGAGATTTCGTTACCACTTGCCAGTCTCTCTGTCAGCGTGCGTGCCTCTCTCTAGCGTGTATAATTTGTTTAATTTGTGGCTAATTTATCTTTCCACTTGGCAGCAGCGGGCCGATCGTATAGGGGTTCACTGGAGCAGGTGCCTGCCTCATTACTGAACTTTGAACTTGAAACGGTGTTGCGAGTTACAGCTGCTAATGGAATACGGCTAGGCAGGGGTTGGGGTTACCAGAACGAAATCTTAGCTGCGGAATTGAAAAACAAACCAATATTTTGATATAGGCATGGATCATTAATCATATATCATAAGGGACGAAAATCAGTTACCTTTGAAATATCTTTCATTTTATTTTCTACCAGAATTGCTAAGATAAAGCCTTGAAATTATTCGGAAATTTACAACTTTTAATCTAGAAAGTGCATTAAAAATTCTACTTAAATTTTGTATAACTAAAATGTCTGAAACCTGGAATATTGATAACTACGAACTACGCATGGCTGTGCTGCATGCCATCTCGGAATTGGTCAATACGGGACTGAGTAAGAATTCTATCAAGATCTGCATAGAATTGATGAAGAATGGGATCAGTGGTCAGGCACTGGCGCAAGTGGTCAAGACCATAAGGGAAGGGATCACAAACAATGAGGATGACAAGAAGGACTCCCAGTCAGAGAGCGAGAGCGACTCTGACGAATCCCTATCAATACACAGGATTATGTAGGAAATTGTTATCAAATTTATTTTTGTTCAAAATGTGTTTGGCAAATTAAAAGTTCAAGTTGCAGATATTTCTTGATTTCAGTAGCTTTCTGGACATCCACTGTTTAGGTATAGAATATTCTAGGATTTTCCCAAGCCACTTGCGTTCATCAATCGCAGGCGAGTGTTGTTCCTGAAAACTGTATATGTGCCGGCCAGAATAATGAAGAGCTGCACCATTTTGGCTTGATAGTAGGTCTAGAAAGGACAAATCTTTAGTTAAAAGTGATAAAAAAAGGAAAAAACTATCGACTCACCTGTCTTATATAGATGGGCAATGGGATATGGGCTCGGTGTACGTGATAATCCATTCCTCTGAAAAGCCAATAGCCCGGCCATGCCCCCAAACTGGCAAAGAGAAATGGTGCTGCCTTGTTGTAGGCGTTCTCAAAGGGTTTGGAATGCACCATAAGACGTATCTCCTCGCCGACATTGTGTACTTTTGGGATGGTGTTGTCCTGTTCCTTGGATGTTTTTTTGGCGGGCCCCTGGATTTTCTCCTTCAGACCGTAGAAATAATCTTGGATGCCCATTTCTAGGTTTGGAATTTAGACCGAAACTTAATGTTTTTGTGAAAAAAGTCAACAAAAGAAGGATATGACAAAGGTTACCTGAGCTAAGAGGAGTCCTCAACAATGTCAGTTTCTGGGTTTTCGTTTTTAACTGTCTGCAGTTCTATGGGAATGCCTGCCGGACGACCCATAGATACTGTCAACAAGCCAGCTGCTATGATGGCCAACTGCATGAGCTTGGCCTGCTGATAGGTCTGAAATAAAAACTTCTTAAAAGATACATTTTAGAGAATGCCAACGCAAATCCCACCCTTTGAATGTAGAAGCCAATCCTCTCCGTTCTGCGTTTGTACTGCCAGTTATAGCCGCGCCAGAACCAAAAAGCTGGCCAGGACAGGAAGCTGACTTGCAAATAGGGCAACATCTCCATTATTTTCTTCGACATACCCTTAGGAGCATTGCGATCCACAAAGTCAACGAACTCCATCTCGTAGTTTATGGGCGGCAAGGTTTGCTCCCTCAACTTTGGCAAACTTAAATCTGGGGTTGGCACATCCCCCGAGGTTATGGGCTCCGTGGTATCAGGTTGAGAGTACTCCTTTGGCTTCCGCGTTTCCTGACTCGAAGTTTCTTGAGCTTCATTCGAAGATGTTTTGTGTGCTTCTTCCACATACTCAACATTCTCAGTTTTGAGTCCAGGACCGCCAAAAAACCCAGAAATTCTCTGGAGCAGCGTATCCATGATGAAAAGATGAAGTTTTCCACTTTTAATTTTCAATTTTTCTCAAAGATGCCAAAATAAACAAGAAAAGACTGCTGGGTTTCCTATGAAAAGTTCAAAGACTCAAAGCCATTGCATAAATTATCGCCTTAACTCGTTCCCTCATGCGGGTTAACATTTGTTTAAAACTAATTTACCTTACTTAATTTTTCTATTTTTTGTCTTTTTTATTTGGGGGCCCACAGAAGCCGCAGAACAAGCTTCATTATGTTCGGACTGCGGGCGCCCAAGACTGGGGTTCTATATGCCGTGGTATATAGAGCCAAAGTGGGTCAGTTGGTGCAGCGGTTCATGCAATTATAAAGCGCATATCTACAGGTTGCATACCAGATACCTCCACTTAGACTCGGGTCCATTGTGTGGCGGTAGCTAGCTGCTAACGGCTTGGACAGCAGGTGTCTCCTCAGTTCATTGTGTTTTTTTTTGGGTTTTTTGTTTTGTGTTTTTCGGCTTAAAATGTGGCTTACCTTCGACGAAAATGCTTGTGTGTGTGCCAGCTTCCTGCCACTATCTGTGATTCTGTAAACTAGTTTTCCTCTCTCGACGGAGAACGCCTAATGATCAATGCATTTAATCAAGTAAATTACTAAAAAATACCGAAAGAAAAACAATTTAACGGTGGATAGTGCGGCCTTTAGAGATATGGCTCTAAACCTCTTTGGATTCCTGGGACAAAGGCAAGCTTAATGAAGTGAAAATCTTGGGTTCTTTTGTGGTGGTTCTTCGATTAGCGGAATGCGCTTGGAATATTCTTTAGCCACTCCTGATGGTCCATCAATCATGTGGAAAGTTGACATCTAACACTCTAACAGTTCCCTGCGGATCTGCAGAAGATTTCGAGAAGTCTTAGAATTGATCCACTTGCCCAGTTATTTACCTGAGCGTATCAGTATTACCATTTTAAAGCCATTATTTCGCTGCCTCTTCTTCCATCTTCCAGCATCTTCAAGCCAAACTACTCAAGCGTTAAGCTTGTGTTGGGGCTTTCATTCATTCAAGACGTTTGAAACCACAAACTGCATTTGTAAGACTTCGCACAGATCGATTCCCGAACCCTCTCCAGCCATCTCTCCAGCTTTTCTCTGGTGCTCTGGAATAGCTACCTACACGCTCACAATTTCTTGTACCCTTTTAACTGTTCAAAGTCAAGCTCAATTAACCCAATTCCAATTTGGAAAATGATTTGCAAAAAGCCAAATAAATGGTTTTGAAAGTCTTCGGCCTGTTGTCAAAACACTCCAGCATAAATCACCGACACAATGAATTTCTTTTGTCCAAAACGCCAACTCGCTTTTGGGCCCACCTGCAATTAGTCTGCTCTCAGGTGGGTGTCCGACCTCTCTTTCACTCCGCGGATCGTGTGAAATTGCAACTCTAACTGCGGTCAATGCTAATACACCTTTCGGCCGAGAAAACCATTTACTCTCGAATGGTAAATTGTATAATAAATTTTTGGCTTTGAATGTCTGGGAAAGGTCTGCCCGGGCGACAGGCGACGACACTTAAGGTGTCAAGAGCGCAAAATTCGCTTGTAATTGGTTACCAAAATGGTCTTGATATTATTACATTAACGAGCGTTGCTTTATTTTCAATCGAAAAGTTGTTATTTTCAGGCTTTGTGATTCCCATAAGTGGAACAAATTTGCTGAAAAACAAAACTTGAAAGTTAAAAAAGCAGTTGAAAGATCAATTAGTATCAAAGAAAGCGGCTGTATTCGGTTATGAAGACTTTGATTGGGAAACAAACTAAGATCACAAGTTCTAAGTTTATAAAGTTTGAGTTAAGAAGAAATAACTCAGCCGCTTTTATCTATCAAACCATAAGATTTCCATACTTTAAAAGCTCTTAAAACGAAAAGCATCTTAGAACTTTTCAAAATCCGTTTGCCTTGACTTTCCATCAGCCGGTAATCTTGATCTTTTTTAACTGCATTCTCCTTAGCCACTTTGAGCTACCGGCCTTGTCGGAGAAGCAATGAATCTTCAATCTTTTGGACCTGCCAGCAACGGCAAAAAGCCAATCCTCAATCCTCAAACCCCAATAGCATGCCTCATCGTTCTTATTCACTGCATTATTATTATAAAACGCCGCATCACTCCCCGCCAATCTCGACTAACCCATCTCGGAGAGGCCCGCATACCGAAAACCCAAGCATATTACTCAATTTTCGATGCTCAGATTTCGGGCAGACAGCGAAAAACAAAGGGCAGAACGAAGATGCCACACCGGGGCTCTCTATATAAACACAAACAATGCCAGCAGTTGACACTTTGACAAATGATATTGCGGCTGGGTCGATAAGAACTCGCCACAGCAAGCCTCATTCATCAGAAATGCGACATATTTTCCCTCCCAAGATTTATTTTTATTGAAAAAAAGCAACAAAAATACTAAAAACTAAATAATCACTAAAACCTTGGATTGCCGTTACACTCTGGGTCAACAACTTGGGGGAAAACGAGACGATCTAAATTGATATTGATATGGATTTGCTCTAGATTTACTACACACATGAACGAGTTGATGATCCTCAAATGTCGTCTGTGGTTTTGGATTCAAAATGGGTTGGGTTTGGTTTGTAATAAGACTCTTTGTATAGGAGTCACTGGCCATTTGATCTTGGCCAGTCGAAATCCCTGGCTAAGCCTTGAGGAATTTTGTGTTTTGGGCGAGGCTTTGATCCTCTTTCGGTTACCTCTTTTCGGATGGGGTGTGGACCATATAATTCCGCATTCCCCAGACATGAAATACGTATCAATTTAATTACCCATGGAGTCCTGAACACGCAATTAAAGCTCAGGGCACCCTTTCCGAACCATCCCTGAAATGCCATTGTATCCATTTTGGTCGAAACAAACATTTTTATGAGGTTGTCGGCCACGACACACCTACAACTACCTGAGACTAGAGAAGAGGATTCTGTAATTCCCTGAAATGGCAGCCTGAAAAATAGGGAACAAACAATGTTAGATTTTATATAGGATTCTCCTACCTGTTTGCTGGTCTTTTCTTCTTGATTTTCCGTGGGATGATTTATCTTTGACTGTCTCATTTCATGGCCTATCAATTGGGAAAATTCCCGCTTTTCCCTTTGGATTTAAATATCTTAGAGGGCTCAAGTTCATTGCCTTCCAGGCGTGGTTCTTAATGCAATCAAAGCCATTTGTTAAGCTGTTTCTCGGAGGCGTAAGAGCTGCCTCGAGACTTGAAGAACCCTAAGGTTTAATAGCGTTTCATTTAAACAAACGTAGCGAATCGGGCGTTTATATTTCCCACCTAGAATCGGTTTTAAAAGCGGAACTCACGCTCCAATGTGTAATTCGATAGAGCCACGAGGAAAACTTGTTTTTTTTCCATCGATAAACTTGGCATGACTGAGGCCACGAGTCGAGGCAGGCATTACTTTTATTGTTTTACCTTTATCTATATTTAATTTAATCGATGCAAATGCTCGAGAGTCATGAACAGGCTGCTCAATGACCTTCAAATGTCGGCAAAGAAATGCGTTAAAAAAGGCTATCTTAATGGCCATAATTAAGTTCGATTTAACCACTAAATCTTTTTACTTTTTTGTCTTTTCTTTTTTTTGTTATTATTAAGCGAAATTATTGGCTTCTCATATAATTGCCGCACGTGTTCCAAGCTGGAAAATAAAAAGAAATCTCATATGCTGATGTTGATGTGCCTGTCCATGTCCATGTACCCATGACACATGTCAGGTGGGGATCAGGGGACGAGGGCAATCCCCTGCGCCTGACATTGATGAAATGGGCTTTTATGGCCATGTTTTTGGTGATGGAGAGTTGTGTAATTGTTGTCTCACGTTGACTGGCATGCCGAATAGAGTTTTGATACATTTCCATTGTTGCTCCGATAAAAGCGAATAAAAGGGAAAACTTGTACGCTTTAACTCCTTTCAACATGAGTGAAACCTTAGCCTGAGCTAGTTCCTAGGCTAGTTCTAGTTTTTGTTATTATTATTTCAAGTTGCCGTGTGCACGTCGTCGGTTGAGTAAATGAAATTTATTACGTGATCGTCTCGGTCGACAGCCAAATCTTTGGCATTAAGTGGGAAAATAATCTCGTAAAAAGCAGATGGAAAATATAATGGAAAATTACTAGAAAAAAACATTTGTGTGGTCCACTGATGGTGGTATAAAGTGGGAAGAAGGTTAGATCCTATCTTTAGATTCTAGATAAGCTGAGTAAATACATCATAACTGGGTTTCCACTGTACTTGCAATGCGCACTCAATTGTTTTTTCGGTATTTCGAAACCATATTTCCAATGCAATTTGCTTCTCTTGCACTTTTCCCTGGCCCAGCAATGGAAACTTTGTTGTTTTTAATAAAATTTCATTTCGAAATCGGATAGAAATTCAACTTTAACCAGATGAAGCAACCGCCTCGGGCACTTACATAAAGAAAACAATTTTCCAATTTTGATTTCTTCTTCTCGGCTCGTCGTTACTCTTTCTCACCCATTTCTGTTGGCTTGTTGTTGTTTCAAGTAATTACCAAATCCAATTAAGTTCAATAACAATTCAGAGGGAACGAGACAAGAAACGAGACGAGAAACGAGACAAACCAAATCAGATGGCTTGCTTTTTAATTACTCGGTTTAGCCCTTAGTTTATTGCTCTTTATCGCCGTCCCCTTTGGTCAGTTCAGCCATTTGGTCGTTTAATTGAAGCCCCTTAAGGGCAAGTTCGATGATATATCTTTGGTTTGGACTTTTATTTGATGATGTCGGCTACTTTTTATTGTCAAACAAACACAAATCGATGGCACTCTTTGCAAGAGGTGTGGGGTGTAGACTTTAAGTAGGTTTAAGCCCAAGCAAATAAAACAAAAATCAATAGTGCGTAAGTGCTGAGTTTCTGTGTTGACCGCTGCTGTCTTTCATAAAGAAGAATGTCAAGAGGCCACAATAATTGCAACTAATCCGCAATGAAGGCCCGGACTGGCCCGAACCTTGGGCCACAAAATCTAGACCA